ACACAATTTTAACACTTAACACCTGCTACACCTGCACGAGCATAAACATTGCCGTCTTCTTCCTCTTCAAAATGACTGATCCTCCCTTAAACTCTGATCGCTGCCCTCAAAACACACTTCAGTGGCCTAGCTTTTTCTCCGAGCCTCCTGCAACAGTTTGATTTGGTTTCTGTTTTACGGCTCCAAAGCACTCTCAGAGCTGTTTTTGTCAGAGAAAAGTACACTACAAATGCCATTTATTATTGATACTGTCTGATATCGAGGCCAGCTGTGCCGTTTGTTTTAGTCCACTCGGACTTTGTTGTGCAGCACTTTTGTCCCTGACAAGATCACAACTAGCTTTGTTTGTGTGTTTCTTTGTTTTATGGGTCATCTGACAGAACATGGTTCCTCTTTACAGGGCAGCTGTGTTTAGAGGTTTTTGATCTGCTCTGTAAAAAAGTAAAGTAATGGATCTTTGAGAAAAAGAAAATAAATTAACATATTCGTGGATGTCTTTCTGGTTGCAGAGTATCTTTGCTCAGTTCCAGTTCAGCAGTGAGCGCGTCTTGCCTTCAGATGCACTGCGGAGCGCTCTGGCCAAGACTTTCCAGGACGAACAGCGCTTTCAGCTGGGCATCATGGACGACGCTGCTGAGTGCTTTGTGAGTCTGCGACAACATTTATCCGTACACACACACCTGCACACATAAATAAGAGAGGTGAGGGGATGCCTAAAGGCTGATCTGAGCGAGTGTTTGAGGAACTCCCACATCTTTACTGCAGTCGGAAGCCTTCAGGGGAGAGGAGATATCGAGCACAGCAGCCTCAAAGAAATATGTCTTTTGACAAGCGTGGAGTGTTCACTTTTTGTTTAGACTCTCTGTGTTTGTGACTCCACCGCCGGTGCCTGTTGGGTTGTTACACTGTTATGCTGTGAGGGATTCCTTGTCATCTCATCTGATGTATCTTCAAGCTTACGAAAAACATTGAACTTAATGGGAAAACACACCGTCTCCCCTGAGTGCCTTTTCAGGAGCTCTGCAACCAAACTTAAACAGCTATCTTATTCTGTCGGCCAACAATCTGACCAAAAGATAAAATCATTACTCCTTTCTGATAGCTGAAGAAAACATAATCATTTAAAACAGGGGTGTCAAACTCAAATACACAGTGGGCCAAAATTCAAAACTGGAACAAAGTCGCGGGCTAACATTAATATTTATTGAAAAAAAATCTTCCTCTAGATATAAGAATGAATCTTTTCTTATGGACTCAAACAAGTTTTGCTGAAAAACTGAATATGGAACAAGCAAAGCTTAATACTAAACAATATATATATTAGCTGTATAATACCAGTAGGCCAGCTCTAATAGTAATTTGGTATGGCTTCGCGGGCCAAATGTAATTAGGCTGCGGGCCAAATTTGGCCCGCGGGCCAGAGTTTGACACCTATGATTTAAAACATCCCCTGGCAACATTCAGTCGCTAGGGAAAAACATGCATTCCCCACAGTAACTACAGTTGGTCTACTGTGGCAGTGTAACTTGAAGATGTGCAACACCGTCTGGAAACTGAGAATGTTCATCTTCAGTTTGAATGTCGTCCCTCAGTGCTGCAGCCAACACGATTCAAGAGGCACAAATTTAATTTAATGTTCTCCCTTTCTGTTTTTTTCTGGTTTCACAGTTGGTAAGTAGTTCGCAGGTGTTTGCAGTCTTCAAACTGTGTGCTAGCAAACAAAACAATTACAAGGAGGTCTTGGTTCAGAATAGTACACCTAGGGACGGCCAGCAACCTCCAGCAATCACTCTCGATCGGGTTCATGAAGCGGTACAGTACATGGTTGATCTTTCCAAAATATTTGAGTTCTACGTGGAGCGGATGCTAAAATATTCTGGTGACACTCCAGTCACAGGTTCCGTTACTTCACTTCCTCGGCGCGTCCCTCTTTTCAAACCCTCTTGTTGCTTTCTTTTCGCCACTTTTGTGCCTCTCTCTTTCGTCGTGTGCGTTTTATGTGTGTGCCTGAGAGGCGGTGTCTGATCGATTGGTAGTAAATGTGTTCAGTCAGGGAATCCGTCGGCTTCTTATGAAATATAGATGCAGCTCCCACGGTCAGATTAACAAGAGCACCAACAGAGAGGAGCGATCAAACGCGCGCTCGCGCACGCACCCACACTATAACCGACCATATTCCCGTACATACCACACACGCATTAACTGATGCCTTTCCCACGTGTTTCTCAGGAGAACCTCCTGATGCGAATCCACTTCCACATCAGCGCAGAGAGTAGAGAGGACATCTGCACAGCAAAACACTGTATTCCACACCAGAAGTTTGCCATGACTCTGTTCGAACAGGTAAGGGGATGTTTGTCCCTTCTGCGCCCTCAAAGAGCCGCTACATCTTTCACTTTTTGAATGCGTTAATTAAACCGTCCGAACAACATGAGCGCGACGTCTTGGTATGAACCTCAGAATGCTTTTCGTTTCCAGTGTGTGTGTAACAGCTGTGGAGCCACATCAGACCCCCTGCCCTTCATTCAGATGGTTCATTATATCTCCACTACATCCCTGTGGTAAGACAAGACGCACACCTACACACCTAAACACACACAGACACACCTACACACACTGCAGTAAATCTGGCAGCAAGCTGTGGCGGGGTGGCAGTAAAGGAAGGTACAGCGTGTTCCCTACTTCCCTGCACGGGTCCCTTACTGAACCGTGAGCGGCAATCACACATTACGTCCACACACGTGTATCTTCGTGCAAGGGCAGGCGAGGATGTGCAAAACGATTCCCCCATGTACAGGTAGATGATGTTGTGTTGGCAAATACACACGCAGGATGTGTGCGTACTCAACAAAACCCCGCACATGTGCCGAGTCAATGAAATAAGGTGCAGGGAAAGTAATCAATCAGGTGTTTGATTTAGCGGACCCAGGGGCCGACATAAATCTATAAGTGGAAGTGAGGGCCCCGGAAAGGCCAAACAAGACAGAAATAAGAGGACAGATCCTCCTATATCCCGTTTGGAAATGAAACACAGCCGAGGAAATAGAGGAATGAATGGCGGGGAGGGGGCAAAAGTACAAATAAACACTCTATGTCAAAGTAGTTCTGGGGCACAGAGGTACCACTGCTCTCTGTTTGTGCCTGTGAGCACTGCCAAGCTATTTTTACCATTAGTGAAGCCTGTTGTTTACAGTCTAGATAGCCAAATATGCAAAAGTCAGCATGAGTAAGATAGTCAGAGGGCACCAAAAAGAGAAAACAAATGTGCGGTTCAAGCACACGGTGCAAGAGTGTACCCAGCCAGTGTGTTGTTGTCGTTGTATTTTCTGCTTTCTTAGACTCCTCATCTGACTGTGTATCTGAAGAGGAGAGGTTGAGCAAGGGGTTGAAATCGAGTGAGAGTGTACAGAGAAGAGGTTGAGTTCATTTCAGGCTAATGGAAGAGGGGAGAGGAGGCGAGGAGAACGGCTAGGAGGAGGACAGGTTTTTAAAATTGTTATTCTTAAATGAAAGAAATATGTCGCTAGAAAAAGCAAAAACCAAACAAACAAAAGCAAAATGCACGCATTATCCCATACATGGACCAAGCCTGAGACAGATTTGTAAAGTTTGTTTTGTATTCACAGAGAATTATAACGTATATTTGAGCTTGTCAAAGACAGAGGACAATTGTACTTAAAAGGGATAAACAGAGCTTAGTATTAGTAAGTGTCATTGTTTTATGCTTTAGTGAAGGAGATTGTCAGAAAAAAAATGCATTTATGGTGGACAAGTAAAGCTTTCTGAGTGGATAATTGTAGAAGAACGTCTTCAACAGTAATGCTGATATATGGTTAATGCTCAAGTACTACAGTGGGGTCAAAGATCAGCATCAGTCAGACAGGGTTTAGAAATTTTCTCAGACTTAAAAGGTTTTTTTCACAGCTGACATGCCTGTCTATATAATCTACATCTTTTTCTTATTTCTTATTTTTTCATTTAAAGAATATAACGTTTGTGAAGTGAGAGAAATACTGGAGTAAATTTCATTTTGTGTGTTGCATTTGCCTAATGAGTGCTTGTCTTGCTAAGTTACCCACTGTAGAGGGATTTTTCATTACCAGCATCGATATCTAAATGCAGAGAAAGAAACAAACAAACTTATCAAGTTTTCCTTCTTTTTGGTTTAACTCTGGGATGCAGTCACTCACCGGGTGTCTGATTTTATTTTGTGTGTGTGTGTGTGTGTGTGTGTCCAATGCTGCAGTAACCAAGCAGTGAGGATGCTGGAGTGCAGAGAGAAACCCACGCCGGACATGTTTGGAGAACTGCTCCGCAACGCCAGCAACATGGGAGACCTGCGCAACTGCCCCGTGAGAGCGTGCACACACAGGACACTTTTGCATGACGCACGTGCACTCCTTTCAACGTGCACAGAAAACGTGCATTTCATTTTGTGCCCTTCCACGATCAAGTTCTTTGCTTCCCTTTTATCAAGAGAAGAATGTAATCAGGAAACTAAAGCGGGGTGAAAATCACATTGTGAAAATATAATTTGCACTTGTTTCATCATTTCTTTGTTATTTTTCCTCCTTCTCTCTACGGCGGGTCTGTGTTACATAATCAGCGGCTCATTTGCATTTTCTCCCCGTTTTTCTCCTCACTTTCTATTACGGGAAGCATTTTCCAAGTTGTCCTCGTCGACCTCCCGTACAGTAAATGATGGCAATCATCAGTTTCTTCTTGCGGGAGAAAACTGTGTTTGGTTGTTCAGAGGAAGATCGGTTTGAAATTATACATGAAGACGGAGTGTTTTTGGAGTAAGAGCCGTGCACGAAATGCGAACTGTAAAAGCAATAACGGGAAACGAGAAAGAATGGCGTACGTGAACAGAGGAATTTTCAATGATTCCTTTGTTCTGCAGGTTTGTGTGTTGCGATGCCACATGGGGAAGTGCTGCTGCTGAATAGATCCAGTTTGGCCACACACACCCACCTCTGTCTGCCAAAGTATCTGTACAAAGAGCCTCCTCTCTGGGCACGGACGAGCAGCTGCCCCTCTCGTCACACAGCACAATCGCCACTTCCACTGCTGCAGCCACACTAACACACACCCGGCGTTTCTTTAACCACGGTAAACGTTGGCATTGTGTGCGCAATCCCACGGGAGACGCACAACCTGTCTGTGTTTATCTTTCATCACTTGCAGCGCTGATCTTTTGTTAATACCACCTTGGGCTTTGCTCAAACAAAGTGATGGTATTTGGATGGAAGCGAGGCTGCTGGATGATACTGTAGGTGTGAGATTGAAGATAGGACGGTGCAGGGACTGGATAATGTGATTGATGGCAAAGTTTTGCACAATTTGAAATTTGGCGAGGTGTGAACTAATATCAGTGCAATAAAGTGAATATTAGATGAGCTGATCAGCGTTTCAGCTCTTCAGATGTTCATCAAAATGTAAACATTATACTGGATCACTGTGACATGTGACAAGAAAATAAAAATGTTCATGTTTTATATGTAGTCTTTTAATGTGACACGTTATTTACTCATAGGATTTACTCAGTGCTCCCGTTCATGTTTTTTGAGTAGGGAATGGTGTGTATATATCTATATAAAACATTTAGATCTTACAAGACTTACAGAGTGTATACTGTGATTTAATTCAGAGCACATATAACATAAATGCACTATATAAGCTGCAGAAATTCTCATCTTCCCCTCCGATGTACTAGTGCTGTTGCTTGGCATCCCTGCCTGCTATTTTCAACCCTTCCACCACCTCAGCATCCACCCACGGGAGGGCTGTTTACTTATTATGCCCCAATTTTATCCATCCATTTTCTTCCACTTATCCAGTTCAGGGTCACAGGGGGGCTGGAGCCTATCCCAGTTGTTACAGGGCGTGAGGCACGGTCCATCCAGGACAGGTCGCCAATTTGTCACATTCGCACCGGCAGCCAAATTGCAGTCACCACTTAGCGTAGTCCCGTGCATGTCTTTGAACTGTGTGAGAACGCTGGAGTATCTATGTGGTGTGGTGTTGCGTGCTAAACACCCCACCTCCATGCCACCCGCTCCCCAATTTTTATGTAACATATTTACACGACACCCATCCTGGATGCCAGCCTGGGTGCCGAATTCAAACTATATTTTTGTGCTGTAATAAATCTGCGATGCTTCGCTAAAAGATATTACATTTAAACTTTTACTAGTAACCAAGTTTCTTCAGAACCAGCCAGAATTAGACTGCAGTTCTTTTTATATTGCAGCTGATTTAAACAACTTTACACTCCGTGGGCAGTGCATCGCTATGTTACCCCATCAAAGTAATCTATTACTATAGTTACTGTAATTGTTCATTTGGTAGAAAAAATAAGACATGTCACTATCCAATGTAATGAAAGAAAAAAATTAGAATTATTATTTAAATTAGTTGGCTGCTGCTGGCTGTGCAGGATTAAAATGTATGCATATAAGTGATCATAGTTTTATGGCTTCATATATCCATTATCTATAATGATACATTTATTATATGCAGTTAGTGACCATGGTGGTGACAAATGACTTGTGAAATGGGCCTGTGTGTTTGATTTTTGTAGTTTTGGCTGTGATCCTTATTGATATAATAAAGCGGTTTACATAATCTAGCTAAACTGTTGGCTTGATTACAGCCTCTCTCATCAGCTGCGGTGGTTTAGGCGTTTATCAATCCTCCATGAACGATCTCTTTAGTGACTCCATTATTAAAGATGAGAAAGCATTTTCATTCCGCTGCTCTTTGATTTGTCAGGAAGCAACAACAACAAGCTTTGTGTCGTTTTAATCAGAAGAATGCCACGATCAGCATACTGCGATCCTACAGTATCATTTGACCAGCAGCCCTGTTATATAACTCTCCGTGTCTTGGAAAGGTCTGCGTGGCCACAGTGATTTAAAAAAAGGAAAAGAATGGTGGGGAAAAAAAAAATCTTTGCATATAAAATTCAACGACGAGGCTGCGCCGATCAATGCTGTATTATGAAGCAGAGCGAATCTGTTTGCACAAGCGTTTGATGAACGATGTTGTCAGCGGCTGTTCCCCTCAGCGCTGAGGGCTAACTGAAGCTGTGTGTCCCGTCCATGTGTCCTAAGCATACAGATAGCCTCGTGTCTCAGTGCTGTGCTGGTTGGCTGCTGCTCCCTGGCTTGTGTTTGTGTCCCTTTCTGAGAATTGAGAAGCGGACCCTGGCAAAATACCTTCCTGCCATTTCTGGTGCCAGTGCAAGACGGCCCGCCGCCCACAAAGGGAGAGTTCTGTGTGCGATTGTGCTTATGTGTGCGAGTGCTGTGTTTGGCAAAGTGTCTGGTTGCCAGGGTGTTCTCAGGCTGTTTCCGAGCCCGCTCTGCCAGCACTGCGTGCATGCTTGCGTGTGTACATGTGTGTGTGTCTGTGCACCGGCTCTGTGGTCGGTCATGACTCAAAGGAAGGATTCAGAACACACGGTTCTGAACTCAACAGAAGGCCCAAGGCACAAATACAACTCAGCACAGCACTTCTTCCTCTGTCGTTCTCTCTTACAGTCCTTTCATCATCTCTCTGGTTTTTTTAGCCTTTTGTCTCTGTCCCTCACGCTCCTACTGTTCAGGTTTTCCATGTGTGTGCGTCTTCATTACTGCCAAATAAAAGGGACGGCTTTAGTGATGTGCACACTCTGTAGCCTCATCACACATGATGAATAAAGCTGTTTAATCACGCACTCTTTTTTTTTTTGTTTGTTTGTTTGTTTGTTTGTTAACCTCCTCTCGTCCTTTCGCTCTCACAGAGTAACTGCGGGGAGGTATTGCGTATCCGCCGGGTGCTGATGAACTCACCGGAGATTGTGTCCATCGGGCTGGTGTGGGATTCAGACCACTCTGACCTAGCAGAGGATGTCATACACAGCCTGGGAACCTGCTTGCGTCTGGGAGATGTAAGCGACCGCACATTATACACTCATTTGAACAAAATTAGCATATATCGTGCGTTTCTATGCAAGCAGCTGAGCCCAAACTGACATAAATACACAGATGTAATTCCCCTAATATTCTGTGGCGAAAATAGCTTTGTGTGCAGTGTGTATATGTGAATCAGAAGGGCTGTTAACTCCCAGCAAGCACCAGACGCCCCTGGGCCTTTTCAAGGCTAATTTCAAAACCAGTCAGGGTCGGTAAAAATACTTATAAATACTTGAATTTTATTGAAGTGAAGGTAAAAATTTGTTGTTTTTTTTGCAGAACATAGAAACGTCTAAGATTAAATTTGTTGAAATTTAAAAAGTTTAGTTGACATCTGCATGACACTTTACTGTTCAAAAATGCAAACGTATGCATATCTTATCTTATCTTATTTGCATTGTATTTGGGTGTGAAAGGTTTGCAATTACACAGCAACACATTATTAACAAATAAAACCAAAAACAAATGCAAAAACTAGTGCTGGATGGGATTTCTTAAAAATGTTTGCTTGCAGAGCTTATTTGTACTGCACTCTGGATAGTCAAAGCCTATTGTTCCCAGATACTCTGGTTGCACAGTGCTGCAGGGGTTTATAGAGTCGTCTCACAGGAAGAAGAGGTCTCCTTTCAAGGTTCAGTCAAATGTAGATATAAAGGGATGTCATTTCAAGGACCAGTAAATTCAACCTTTTTTTTTTTTTGCTGGGTTGTCTCAAACTGATTTCAATTAAAAAACAAAAAACAAAACTCACTTTTACTGTAGTGCCACCAACAGGCAAAATTTGCATGTTTTTAAAAGCTTAGAGCCAAATAATTGTAATCTCTTGCTAACAGTGCATGCATACTGGCATACCGAGTGTTTTTGCATGCTAATGTTTTGCAGGAGTGCTGGAGTTTTTTTGGTTTTCTGTCCTTTCAAGTAAGGGTTCATGGTAGATTAGTGGCAATGCTCCAGAGCGCAAGCCTGACAATCATACATTGAAATTTGTTTCTCTCTTTTGTTTAAGAGAAAACGCATCACAGTCTACTAGTCCTAGTAGACTAGTAGACTACCAAAATATTTATGCATATCTCATACCTTTTGGAGAGTTGTTATAAAAGTGAAGAGGGTCCAGGGTGTGAAAATTCAGAATACAGTAGATTCCTAGATTTCCGGACCAAGAGTAGTAATTTGTAATTTGATCTACAGCAAACTGCTTTCTGCTAGATGTAAGCACATGCATAAATTATTTTTCAGCACATTATCACATGCAAACTGTCCGACACAAGCGCATGCATGGATGTACATGTATTTTCAGTGTGTGTGTGTGTAAACAAATACACAATAACTTGCAATAATGTGCAAGTTCAGCATGACAAAAAAACAAATTCTGTGCAGATACGACATAATCTTCCAGACTTTCAATTTTCTTATAAAGAGTTCAGAACGCTACTTTTCCATTTACAGCTACAGCTTTTACACCTCTCTCACACACACACACACACACGTGTTTGACCTCTGATAGTCGGCGTCATGACTGAGTAATGTTGATGCATTTTAATGCCCCTGTTACATCTCCAGCCGCATTCCGAAGTGATATCCATGAATAATGGATTAGTGAATATGAATATGTGTTACAGTGACTCAAGCTTTTCCCTCTATCTTCTGTCTCCGCCTGCTGCTCTGTCTCTTGTTTTCATCCTGCAGCTGTGAGGGAAAAAAAACAAGCTGCTGAATAAGAAAATCTGAGGTGTTACCTATTGAATTTTCCAAATTGTGTTTAGCTATTAAAAGTGTGTCCATTTGCCTCCACAGTTACTTTCACTTGCTGCTTTTCTGTATCTTACCCATCTCCCTTTTTTTACACTTTTATGTCCGGTTTCTCCTCAGATTAGATGACTGTAGTGCTGCTGCTGCAGTAAACCAAACTTTATATTCAGTTAACTGTAAATCAGCTGTTAAATTTAAAAGGAATTAATACAGATCTTCGTTGTTTATCCGCAGATTTATGGACTGTTGGCTGGACAAAAGAGTTGTGGTTGTGCAAACTTGTTAAGATGTATTTTCTGATTCTTTAAAGATTTCAAAATATTCTATTCTATTTATATTCTAGCTTATTATGTTGAATCATGGAGATATATGGTTCATCAAAGCACAATGGCTAGAATTATACATATGGCTATCAATACACTGCCTTTGTCTGTGCATGTTACTAGCAGTATCATCTGGAGCAAGTGACCTTACTAAGAGATGAGTGTGAGAGCCGTGCATCATTTCCGCTTGAAAAACTGCAGCGTGTATGCAGCACTGTAGGTTTGTGTGCGCTTCGCAAGCAGAGGAAAGTGAGGAGAGTGAAGAATTACTGCATACAGCATATACTAGGTGAGCAAAAATGTGCTTGTATTCACATTAACTAACTCTTCTGTCTCTCTCTCTCCTATACCGCACACCTCTCCCCTGCATGCCCCCCTCCCTCCTTGTCTCCTCCCCCTCCCTCTTATCTCTCTCTCTCTCGGTAGTTGTTCTACCGTGTGACAGAGGAGAGGGCTCGCCAGGCGGAGCTCTACTTGGTGGGCATGGTGTGCTACTATGGCAAGCACTACTCCACCTTCTTCTTCCAGACCAAGATACGCAAGTGGATGTACTTCGACGACGCCCACGTCAAAGAGGTGAGACGTAGTTTGAGTGCCGAGTCTGCATGCTGCAACACGAGGAGCATCTGCTGCATCTTCACTTGTGCCTGTGAGAGCAGGAATGACAGGAGCTGTGCTGTGTGTTAGTTTAAGTGCTGCACAGTCAGGTCTTTTGCAGTGGTGGCAGCTTTAGATTGATTATGTGTTTAAGGTTTAATCCCTGTCTTTGTTTAAATCTATGCGCTTAAATCTCAGTGCAAGAACTGTGTACGTATTATGTATGTGATTTAAGTGTGAGTCCTTTTCTTAAAGGCTAAAAAAATCCTCATGAATACTCAGCAGAAATAACAGAAGGAACTTGTGTGCATGTACCTGTCCTAGACTATCAATCATAGTTCACAATGAGGGTCATATTAGATTATTGACTGAGATAATATGATATCAATGAAGACACAGCAGCACAAAGTGTATTTGACCTTCTACCTTTAGAGGAATATGAGTAGCGTGATATCCTAAAACAGATAGTTATACTTCCTTTTTATGTGTGTGTGCTTATATAAATATATATTTTTGTATATATATTTATATGTGTGTGCTCTGCATCTCCAGATCGGCCCTAAGTGGAAGGACGTAGTGTCTCGCTGTATCAAAGGCCACTATCAGCCCCTGCTGCTGCTCTACGCTGACCCCCGTGGGACGCCGGTGATACTGCAGGAGAGCCCAAACCCCTGTACCAGCTCCAACCCGCAGCTGGAGCTCCAGCACTGCAGCAGCAAGGCTGGTTACGACAGTGAAGACTCTGGTACAGCAAAGATGATACACTCTGCTAAATATCAGATCGGGTTGATCTGTCTTTATCATTTGAGAACATGCGGGGTTATAGCTTTAAAGCTCTGACCTTCAACCCTATAATCTCTGCCTCTGCATACTGCAGAGCCTGTGCTATAGTATTATCATGCCTTTAACTGGAAACATATGCGCATACAGGATTACCTAAAAGGTCACCTCTCTTTCTCTTTTCTCCCACAGGTCGGGAGCCATCCATATCCAGCGATACTCGTACGGACTCTTCGACAGACAGCTCGAGTCACCGAGGTTCTCGCAGCCGATCCCTCCACCAGTCTACAGGCAGCCACCTCTCCAGCGAATCCCAGACCACAGTGGTCTGTAATTACGACACTGGCACACCGCCTCTTGGTGCTGACGCTGGAGGTAATGCTGCTGGTCCAAATGTTCTTCCCCTTAAAAAAAAATGCAGTTGCACCTTCAGTCAAGAAACCCTAATGGTTTAAAAAATAACCGCAAATACTCAAGTGTTTTCAGGGAGATGCAGAAAGTATCATTGTTGATATAGTTAAGAGCAAACAGTTATGCGTTTTCAAGTTTCGGTGAAGTGAAATGGGTTCTGCAGTCTTCAGGTTATGCGCCTCGTTAGTGGTTACTCTCACATTTATTTGCACTGCTGCCTGCATAATTGCCCCCTGTGGGATAAATAAAAATGTTATTGGATTTATTTTCTCTTCCTTTTCTCCCGTGTTCAGAGTCAGCAGTGGAGGGTCCTCCCCGCCCTCCCTCTCCTCCGCTGCAGGAGTACAAGGAGACGGCTGTCTTCCTCCTCTCCTCCCGCAGGCCTCTGACCTCCTCTTCCTCTTCCTCCCGTCCTCTGTCCTCCTCCTCTTCTTCCGGAGTTGGGGGCTGTGAGGGGGGGATTGGGGGTCCCCACTGGGAGGATGAGAGCACTAGCAGTGAGAGCAAGTCCAGGTACTGCAGCACTCGTACACATCGGCTGTAGAATTAAATTAAAAATATTTTACGGTAATGCCGTCTTCAAATCACACGTAAATACTCACATCTCTTCAGGGGAAAAAGTAGAAGTGCTTATTAGATATGGAGCTTATTTTCATGTTGTTAGGCTACTCATTCAATACAACTATAATGTGTGTATATATATATATATATATATATATATATATTTCAACACTGTAACCCAGATTGAATTGAAAAGTTAATACGCTGCCCTTCAGCCTGTTAGAAAAAAATCCAGATGAGGAAAAATCTCAGATTCCTCGCAGTTAAACAGCTCTGCACACTGTGAGACACACAGCAGTCTGTTCCTTCTGATCTTTAAGTGAACGTTTGAGATAATAACACAACACAGCTTAAAGAAAAAAAATGCACAATATCACAAGAATCGTGGCTGTTAAGTGAACTGTAGCTAGCATCCTATTGTGGGGCACATGCTCAAAGGTTGTGAATGCCCACTTGTTTTTAAGAGTTTTGGTTCTAGAAGTGAATTTTCAATTTATTTTTGAAATGGCATTTGTGAAATGTCAGTGGAGATTTCCTTATATAACGAGTTTTCAGTTCTGAACCAAGCCAAACAGTTGTGAGGTGAGTCGTGACCATAAAAAGATTTGATTTGGATAAAACGACAAAAAAAAAAAAGGCTAAAAGTGCAAGACTGTTTACATAATTAAGTTTAAAGGTAAGGAACTTCTCATCCAGCAACCCTTTGTAAATCTAGTTTCCACAACAAAGGACTTTCAACCTTCTTGAATTTAATAGGTTTCATTATCATACTGGTGTATAATAAAAGGCTGGAATATATTTTGTATTTTGTGATGTGTATGTAACAAAGTATAGCCTCATTAGCAACATGTTACAGTCCTTCACTCCTGACTGAAATCAGATTTTCTTGGTAACAGCGACCTCCACCAATCAGAAATGTTGCTGTTTCTATTAAATTTTTCCAGTAGTGACAATATGAATAAAATGTGCGTTTGTTAAGATAAGGTTGATATCATACAGACTTGTGCTTGGTTAGATTGCTTTGCCTTCTCAATCAGAGTCTGTAACCTCACTCTTGAGATCGATCACCAGACTGTTTAGCTGAGTTACAGCTAGCTAACTAACTGGCCCTGCCTTGCATCACTCTGGGCTAGTTCTTTGAAGAAACTTTTTCAGTTATAGACCTTTGCAAGATTTATTGTTGGATGAAATCAAAACATTATAGACAAGTTAGTATCACGGATCACATTAGCAGCTAATTTGTCAAGCTAGCCAAGTCGCATTTTCACTGAGATTTGAATTTGCCTGCAGTAATGTAAGCTAGCAAGAAAGCTACAGTAAGTAAGTTAGTTGTAGCTTAGCTATATCGCTTGAATCTGGCAGTGCTTATTTTGTAAAATTTGCTGATAAAGTAATGCAAGGTGGTCATTTTGTTATGTTAGTGATTAGTGTACTCCATATTATGAAAATATGTCACTTTGGATCTTCTCTAAAACATGTCCTAAATTATGGGCACATAAATAAAGGCATTACTGTTCTGCAGACACACGGCAACTAACGTCATGAGAAACTGTGACAATCATAGAGGCCTAAAGACCAATCAGTGGCCTGACAACTACCGTTCGCTCTCATCTCTTGTGCGAAGTGAAATTGGGATTTAACACATGAAAAATTATACGTGTTGTCGTTTTTAAATAATATTTACCAGAAGACTAATTTATATTTTCTTCAGTCAGTAGACATGTTCAGCATTGAATCCTTCTTCTTTGTTCTCTAGTTCTTCTGGAGGCCGCTACAGGCCAACTTGGAGGCCCAGGAGAGAAGCGCTGAACATCGACAGCATCTTCACCCGACAGAGAGGCTCCTCTGTGGGCTATAACACTGTGCCTGGCCCGCCTCTCCCTCCAGGGCCTCAGGACTCACTCCCTTTAGAGGGACCTGCTCCACTGCTGGGATTGCAAGAAGTAGAAGCCAGAGAAGTTGGGGAGTTGGAGGCGGGGTTTGGGCTGGTTGGGCAGCCCAGGTCTCTGGGCAGCGGGCGGACGATGGGTCCCCCTGCCCCTCCACCTCTGAGAGGGGTGGAGCACCAGCCACGTCTGATTCAGAGGATGGAGAGTGGCTACGAGAGCAGCGAGAGGAACAGCAGCAGCCCCGACAGGTAGGAAACTTACAGATACAGATTTGTGTGTTTGCATTATCAACATTTATGCCTTTCGTTTACCCTTTTCCTTTGTTTACAGGGAGGTGGGGCAACAAAAACGGGTGCTGATGTCAGGTCCTTCATGGCGTTCAGTGCCTAAATCCAAGAGCAGCAGTGCCATCCTGCAGGAGCTGCCCCCACCTACTTGGAGTGGTGGCACTAATGCAGGTGTGTGTTTTTGCTTAATTTCTTCAACATGCATTTAAATTGATGAATATTTTCATTCCCCATATTTCTCGTGTGTGTGTGTGTGTGTGTGTTTTCAGGCCCAGGGCGTAGTGAGCTAGACGAGCTTCAGGAGGAGGTAGTGAGGAGAGCCCGCCTGCAGGAGCAGCAGAAGCGAAGGGAGGCGGAGCGGGAGGCAGCCATGGGATTTAATCCCAAACCCAGCAAGTTCATGGACCTGGACCAGCTCCAACACCAGGGTATGGATGAAATATGGAAACATAGAAAAACAGCAGCTGGAAGTTGGTAGTGGATATGTACGGGAGTTATATGCTTACGAAATACTTCCAGTGGAATGCAATTTGAGCTTCATTTGCCTATGTTTAATGGATCTTTCCTCATATTTCACTGCCTGCATCAACACTGATTCACTTATACAACAGCTGATGAGTGAGAAACCATTTATGTAAATTTAATGTGTTTAAACCTTTACCCCTCAAAATTGCATTTAAAGCTGCGCCAAGCGGAAACCCGCGTAGCAACGGCCCATCTAGACAGTTCCATGTCTCAATTTGTGCTTCCAAAAAATAAAAGGTGGATATATCTTTGGTATTAAAATGTTATGCTTTATGCTGATAATATGTATATTTATGCTAAAATCTTGCCTGGTGCAGTTTTGAGGTCACCTGTGTCTAGATTAACAGTCACAGTGACTTGTACGTCCATGTGTCTGTCTGACCTCGTCTTTGTCCTCGTTCCCATCTGTTGGTCTGTCTCTCCATCTGTCTCTCTCTGATGGTGTTTTTTTTCCCTCCGTCAATTAGTTCAGTGTGTTTTATTTCAGAGGACGTGTGTGTTTGTGTGTGTTTGTGTGTGTGGATCTAGCAGTTCCAGCCGTGTTCAGTGTAGCCGAACAGAGCAGAGCACAAATTCCTGTCAGATTAGTTTTTACAAAAATGGAAACTCCTGTGGGGCGTTCACTGACCGGCACAGAGCGGGAAACTCTTTCTGGGTGATTCCTATTTAGAATCACAAGCACAATCCAAGTTCAGTGCTCTGATATCCTGGCTATCCTCCAGAGTTTAAAGTGTGTGTATTCCTCTGCTTCCAAAAATGTGTTTCTCTACCTTTTTCGTTCTTGTGTGGTCTATAATGATGTGGGTATCTGTGTGCTGTGGTGTGAGCTTTAGATTGTGTCTTTCTTTGACTCGAGTCACACTTTAAGGGTCATTCCATTAATTTTACAGTTAGTTTATGAGTATTGCTATGTGGCCTGTGACAAAACGTTCTGTGATTTCTTCTCCGTCTCTGGAGAATCGGTATCGGCTCTGGGATAATTACTCAACTGATGCCCTCTGAGACTTTAAATGTCTATAATAAACTGTGCATATGGACTTCAAAATTTGGGTATGTACCAGGACGCGAGGTTCTAATATTAGACTCTCAGAGTTGCTTCATGGGGAGAGCAGAAGACTGTGGTGCCTGACTCATATGAAGTGGGATCACAAAGTTTTATAATTCCACCTGGTTTAGTGATTATTCCCTCACAGTAGGAGGGTTCTGGATTCTAACTTTGGCGTGCACGTTCTCCATGTGTATGCCCGGTTTTCTTTGAAAGCTTCAATTTCTTCTGCCAAAAAAAAAAAAAAGAATCATGCGAAATTAAATTCTAAATCTTATGAGTTTCATTTCGTGGGTAAAAGTACAGCTAACTTTCACTTTAAGGTTGCTTCCTTGTGCATTTCTGGGCTTTTGCTTGCACCTCTTTGGTTTTAAGATTGCTTTCTGGAAATCCACTTTATTGATAAAGCTTATAGTGGATCAGGTGATGCAGCCTAGACATCCTTCACCCTTTCCCCCCCTCCCCTTACCCCAAAGCAGTCGCATCATATGGCTTTTCTTCTCTGCTCCTGGTTCTGCCGGAGGTTTCTTCCTGTTAAAAGGGAGATCTTCCGTCCTACTTTCGCCAAGTGTTTGATCATAGGGGGTTATCTGATTGTTGGGGTTTTCTCTATATTATTACAGGGTCTTTATCTTACAATATAAAGTTCATTCAGGCAATTGTTGTTGTGATCTGGGGCTATAGAAATGAGATTGAATTAAACTGAACTAGGATCCAGCACACACTGCAGATGTGCAGCTTGTCAGAATGGGACTTCCATACTAGTAGCACCCAGTGCTGGTGCAGTGCTTCACAGGGAGACCGCATTAAACTGGAAATTAGCCAGACATGCATTTTTACCTGTTATACACAGAATCACAAAAACTTTCAGTTGTTCCTTTAATCAGGTCTGAGCATTATATTTTGCACATGCTTTTTAGCCACAACAGCAATGCAGCTCTGTGGATAGCAATGTCAATTAGGCATTTTGGTGTTAATGGAAATAGTCTAACTTCTGCTGAAAGCAGATGACATCAGTTACTTTTTTCCTTTAGCATGCTCCTTGAGTCAAACGTTTTGTTTTCTCATACTTTCAGCCTCTTTATTTAGCTTTATTTAGCAAATGTTTAGCAAATGTTAACACACTCACACACAAAATCAACATCTTAAATGTTGTTTATGCAATTAAAAACAAATAAGCTCGTGCCGGGCACCACTTACAAAGTCATTCATGCTTTTTAAGTAGTTATACCTGAAACAACCTCAGCTGAAAATCAGCGACCAGCTTTATAAATAGCACTGAAAGAATTATGTTCACATCTTGTCTCGACTCAACATTCAAATTAAAGACTTCTGCACGGCCTGTGTGACTTCAGGCTTGACTTTAGATCGACTTTGGGAACACATGGTGTTCCCACATGGTGTTCCCAAAGTATGTGTCCATATTCCTGTGTGTGTGACTTTTTCATGAATATTTAATCAGTTCATCCACAAAAGATATTTTTCTGTCATGTTTTATTGTGAAAACGTGTTTAGCTGTGTGTAAGTGAGAGTTTTATATAAACCGCAGGTGTTCAGGTTTTCCCCTCCTACTCAGCACTAACTAAATCTACATCAGGGATTATTATGTTGTGTCCTGTCTGCCCTACTGTGTTTGCTTCACTGTGTTTAGTCTCAAATACCTGACACTCACCTGTGTGCACATTCAACCTTGATGAAGTGAAAGGACGAGTTGTGAACGAACAGATGGCATCACTATCAGTGCTACTGTGTAACAGAATTTGGGTTCCCACATCCGTATCGATGGATTCGGGCGTATTTCAAACAATCAGCCTCAGTGTTTCAGAGGTTACAGCCAACAGCAACAACAGAGCTGCCATCCGCCTTCCTTTCTTCTGCCTCTATCAATCTGAAGTCTATAAACTCAAGCCAAAACGGATGATGGCTGCTCTTTTGTTGTCCACTTGTGCATTCTTTGTAACCAACTAGCACCACTGAGAGTGCACACTAGAAATATCTTTTTCGTTTATTCCCTTGTCTGGTGTGTGTGGCTTCATGAACGCAGCCCCAGTTTCAACTCATTTATCTAATGTTCAATTTTTGAGTCACCAACAGTACAAGTTAGTATATTAATGCGATTACATCAGAGTTGCTAAGTGGGAAAAGATGCTGGGTCCCTGCTATGAAATCTTCCTATTGTTTCCTCTCATGATATTGCCAGTGTCTGTCAGCTTGAAAACAAGAGGGTGTCCTCGGAGAAAAAATAACTGCCAGTTTTGTGCAAGTTGAAATCACAGGATCAGGGTAAACAATGTAGCCCAGGCAGAGAAGAGGCACAAACTTGGACTTGACAGTGAGCCTGCATAAACTGGTTGTCATACCAAACAAAGGAAGACTTAAGAAGCAAAACATCTGAGTGCATTAAACGGAGCGGGGGTCTGTTTTCTTTCATGCACCTATAACTTTTCATTCGCTTTTTTTTTAAATCTCTTTCATGGTTTCACAATCTCAGTTTTAAAGATTTAACAGGTTTATGTGGTGCGATTTGTTAATCTCCCCTAAAGGGTTGTCTCCTTCTGCACCTTCTGTCTGGGTTTCATTTTGGGGAAGGGGCTGCAAGGATTTAAATCAGGCGAGCATAGTAGTGAGGGTAGGTAGTGTAAGGAACATTATGGGCACATGCAAGTGGTCAGAATGAGACCTCCACAGAGTGATTTAAGCAAAGACCAGCATTTGAGGCAGCTAAGAGTCTGACAAGTAGACTGCCTTGAAACAGGGAGCAGTCAAATTTAAGTCAAGTGAGATTTTTGCTTTATTTAGAGCATTTTCTGTCAGTTTGGCTTTGGAATAGGCACTAAATGCCAAAATGCTATGACATCTGTGACCCTCTGTGGCACTGAAGAAATTTGCAGTAAATTTGGAGGAAACGCAGCACTACAGTTTCTACATTTATCTAAAAGCCACTGATTGCAGCTGTTGAGTGTTGGATCCAGTGTCTTCTGAACACAATAGTAAAAACTTGTTATTGCTGCAAAAACCTGAATTTTAAGCTTCTAAGCGATTGGATATTTCTCACCAAAATGATTGGGGATTGAAGTTAGGTTAGGTTTTGAGGACATCCCACTTTGCAACTCTTTACTTATGTAAAATACTCACACATCGATTTACAGCAGCAGAGTGTAATGCATGCTGGCCCCCTCACAAACACTCCTTCTGCTCTGCTTCTCTTTTCTCTCTCCTTTTGTATTATAATCGTTTACTCTCATCCCTCCTCGTGTCTCCTTTCTTGTTCCGTTCCTCAAACTCTCTCTCGCTGCCACTCTGTCGTTATATCTTTCTGTCTTATTCTCCTTTTTATCTCCTGCTCTGTTGTTAACATCCTCAGCTGTGCTCAGACCCCTGCATGAGGCTAACGCTCATAGCGGATTGGCTGTAGCTGCGTGCATGAGGAGCACTGGGGCCCCAATCAAACGCAGGCAGGAACAGGAAACGGAACGGGAGACAGGAAGCGCCCGCCCACAGGGCCCACGCAGGTACCACCACTGTCAACCCTTATGTATCCACAGCGGTGCCTGTCTCAAAATCACCTCAAAACCCCTCACTTCCCTCCCCTTCCTCCCTCACTTCGTGTTTGTCCAAGCTCAAGCTGTCCTCAAACCCACCTCAGGACTCCGCTGTGTGTGTCCTCTGGGTGCTGGCTGTGTAGAAACGCCTCAACACCCTCATGTGTGTGTCTTTAGCTCTGGCTGGCCAAAATCCCAGAAAGCTTGATTTTGTAACCCACTCCCCCAGCACTGCACTCTCACATCCAGCTCTGTGTATGTGTGTGTGTGTGTGTCTGAATGTGTA